TTCCTTTCTGGGGTTCCGTCGACCCGCCGACAAGGTCACTTGAGAGTTCACCGCATTGAACCAGATCAAGCTGCCGCGATAGCTTCCGCGCTTGCGATCGCGTGAGAGCCATGCACGCTAAGTTGGGGAAGAACGATTTGCCCTGCTCTTTGAGAAGCTGCTCTGAGTTGTTGGAGAAAAGATAAGGAAAACGATCATTTAGCGCGGCAGACACAGCCGCTTCGGTGCGAAGCTCACCGAACGGGCCTTTAATGACAACCGTGGCGATTGGTAAGCGAACACTCTGCTCCTCGGCGACCTGCCTGATCCACGCGCATTCTCCTGTAAAGTCATCCGGAGACACCAATGAAGGATGGACAACGTCCATGGTTGCCGCTGAGTCTCTAAGTGCTCGGCACGTTTTCTCATTCACCCTAATTTCTTGGAGATACGGCTCCAACAACCGCATATTTTTTTCTGATTCTCGGATTGTTGCGAAGGCAAACTTTTCCTGACAGTTTTTCGCGATGTGTCCTTCCTTTTTGCAGTTGTAGCAGATTAGCGGCTTCCGTTTGTTTTCCGATTCAAATGCCTGTGTGGTAGAAACCTCACTCGATTTCTCCGCTTCTGTTTGCCCTTCCCCTACACTGTCCTTCGTAAGAGACGGGTCCTTGAAATAACGGTGCGGAGCGGGTTTCCGTTGATCAGGTTTCTTTGAAAAGCCCCCTTTTCTCTCATCCTTTTCAACGCGCACTGCCCTGCTGTGCAACTTTCGGCGAGTATAATACTCCTCAGCTAACTCTGCTGCCTTGTTTAGCTGTACTTCACCAAGTCTGTCCTGCAGCCAAAGCCTGACATTATCCTCGATGCAGCGGTAGAATTGCTCCAATGCAACGCATTCCACCACTCTATCGCGGTCGTCATAAACACCTTCGCCCTTGAGCCATTCAATTAAATCGGCCTTAAGACGAAACGCGAAGTCAACGTGTGACTCATTCCCCTTTTCAGCATACCGGAACCTTTGCCTGAAAGCCTCGGGTGATAACTTATAACGTCTCAAGAGCACTTCCTTGACCTCGTCATAGCTCTCAAACGCTTCCCTAGACAAGCAAGTTATCGCGTCGGACACTTCGCCGGGAAGAAGAGCTAACAGGTTCTGCGCCCAAAGAGACCGCTCCAAAGCGTTTCGCTCACAGACGTGTTCAAACTTGACGAGATACTTCGCCATGTCCTCGCCTACTACGAACGGTGGCAGTTGGTCCCGAATTCTAAAACCGCTGACCTGAACTGTTGGAGAAGCTACGCTAGGCGCCTGCGAACACTGTAGGATTGCCAATTCTAGTCGTTTCAACTCGAGACGCTCCTGTCTCTCGGCCTCCTCGCGACGTTCGCGCCTTTCAGCTTCTTCACGTTCGCGAGCTTCGCGCCTTTCAGCTTCTTCGCGAGCTTCGCGCCTTTCAGCTTCTTCGCGAGCTTCTACTTCTCGCCTTTCAGCCTCCTCACGGCGTGCTTTAATATCCACCCAGGCCTCATCGACTTCCTCAGCCGACACTCCCTCATCCTTCATGATCTCAAGGATCGCTTGCTTTCGTTTCGCACGGCCCAAAGTAATGCCGAGTTTCTCACAAATTTCGATGAGTTCCTTCACTTTAAGGTTCTCCATCGTTCACACTAGCCTCTTGCTGTTTGCCCCTGTTAACAATTTACTTGCCGTACCCACTATAAGTCAACTAGCAAGACGCGCAAGCAATTTTCACTCTCCCGTGTTTACCCCCTCCGCATTAACTTTGGTTTCAAAGCACTTCGACTTTGCTTGAAACGATCAAAGCTCACTCTAATGCTTCACACAGCCCTTCTCTAAACTACTACAACCTGAGCTAGAGTAGTCTGGTGAACTGAGGGGAAAACATCAGGCACTCACCGCATCGATGTCGCTGACGCCGGCCGATCCCACCGCTGCCACCACTGTTACGAAAGACGGACCGATCCCGCCGAAGCCACCACTGTTGCGAAAGACGGAGACGCCAACACGGCCCCGAAGGCGCCACTGCTTTCAACTCCGCCGGGAAGGTCACCAGCCGTTTGGTAGCGTATGTTTCTCAGCCCGCGACTGCTTCTGCGCAGAGCTGATAAGACGAGCGGACGAGACGACGGTGAGTTAAACAAGGTTTATGTACAGCATATATACAGAGGCGTTACAATTTCGGCACTGGGGCCGACAGAGACTCGAAGAGCCGAGCTCTCCTCTCTAATACATAGGTCAACTTTTCGCCTAAGACCGCTGACTCACACACATGTCGGCTCTCCGACATGGGGACTCCTCTCTCGTAGGACCGCCGATCGCGACGCGCCGCAGGGCTTCTTTTATTTGCACCGGGTCCAACCAAAATGTCCAATCAGAAGCGCCGCTGGTCGTCAGGGCAGATTCCTCCAATGGGGTCGCCGCGCCATGCGTCAGACCACCAGACACGAGGACGCCGGCTCGCTGTCACGTGCGCAGCTGACTCAATGCACGTGGGCCAGAGAAGCGCCGCACGTGTTCACGCCGTCGAGTTGATCGCGCCAGGCGGACTGCGGGCTGGCCTTGACCCAGATTGCCTTTTTCAGAGGCACGGTCGTTTGACGAGGACTCGCTGGCATAACAATATAAGGCGCGTTACTGACACCGATATCAGCGTCGCCAACGGATTTTAACTTTACTCCCCCTCATAGCATCACCCCGTGCATTCGCACTTAACCATGTTCACCCTCGGGGAAATGCTTGGGAGTTTTTCAGAGAGCAGCGCTTGGGTGTCCGTGTCTGCATTGAGCGGCGTCGCAGCTGGCATTAACGTTGTCAACGTAACCGACAGAGCGAACGAAGACGAAAGAGGGGGAACGCGGAGTCTGTCGATACCGCGAGCTTATGACGTCTAACTCCTATTTTGCTCATTAATGCGCGCTGGCCCCTCAGTGGGAGCTGGAGCGTATACTAGGCACTGTAACACAGGACTGGCATGTGCATTGCGGCTGACTTCGCTCGTCATAACAGGGCTGTCGGCGTTTCGCTTGGTTAGGGACGCCTGCAATGCACAGAGTGGTGTGCGTAGTACTCGAGCATTGGCAGTTTATGCGGCAAAATGTAACGAATGGTACACATTGCGACAACTGCGGAAAAGCAAAAAAACTTCGAACACAGTTGGCCTCGTCCGAACATGAAGCTGCGCGCACAATTCGCATGGTGCAGCATTGTATTTGTCAAGGATTTTTTTTTCTGCAACAGGACGTGTCCAACATGTCGAATATAGCTTTGACCGGATTCAACTCGCCTTAAAAAGTGGAAGCTAGCTGCCACATTTTTTTTTCGCATACTATCAACACTGACTAAAGTGGGCCATTGTGGGCAAACGTTGGCTAAATTATGGCCACTACTGTAGCATAGTGTTGGCTAACTATTGGCCACTGTCTGCTGATGTCGGCGTTTCGATTGCGTGTTCATTCATTCATTCATTCATTCATTCATTCATTTAACATTTCGTAATTCAATCGCAGTTTAAGAGATTCGGGTAACTACTTGTTTTATTGAACAATTAATTGACATCCTCACTTTTATGCGTGCGCGCTTCTACTTTAAAGGCTTAATAGACAGCGAGAACCGCAATGAATTCTCATTATGGGCCGCCTCGGTGCAGTGAAAGTTTTTGAATTTGTCCAAGTTCAATATTTGTTCAAGTGTATAGTACAGCATTATTTATTTTTACCCATGCAGTTACCATTAGTTCGAGCAGGCGCTGCCAAAAGTAATTAACAATCTGGTGCGGCAGCTTCACGGTGGTATTGCTAGCAGTCTTACATTTTCGCATCTTTCTTGTGGCTTACATGGCTTTCCTTTCTTATTGAAACAGGATAATTTAGAAACGCAGCTAAAAAAGAAAAAGCTACACTGCTTAATATGCACTTGGCGAAGATTAATCGAAATCAAAGACCACATTTTTCTTACCCCATCGCGCCTTCACATAACCTGCGAGGTCGAAGTCACTGGAAATTTTTTTCACCTCATACGGTTTTCTAGTGTAATTTATTATGGTAATTTAAAGGGGCTTTTCTATAGTGCTTCCGGGATAGTCCCACGTTTGACTAAGCTATTATATATAATGTGATGACGTCATCATGGCACTTTGCGATAGTGTCATATTTTACTGACTTGTGACGTAATTACGGCGTCGTAGGGTTACGCCATCACGTGGTGATTCGTGGCCTAACTCGTGTTGCCGACGACGACGCCGACGGTAACTTTTCGCGATCTTCGAGGCATGTAAGGCTCTCACTTACTCGTGCGTGTGGGTGACCCAGGAATCAGCACCGTTCCAAATGGCTGGCCCACGGACGCAACAGCGAAGTCTTCCAGGTAACCTCCGTGCCCAGGCGGACCGTACTCAAAGTGGTGCCCGTCTCGGGCGACCTTACCGAGCAGCAGGTCGACACCATCGCCTCAGCCATTAAGGGCTGCCTGTAAGTTAGTGGTGACACTTTGAATGTTTGGGCTTCATGTACTTCAACCGTAGCTGGATTTCTTTTTTTTTCTTTTGCTTTTTGTTTCTTGAAGAAAACTAGTGATTTAGTATGCCTTATTGCAATTGCATTACTACCTGTAGCAATGAAAAATTTGTGAACACGGGATGTCACTTGATTCGAAGTTTCGACAAGCGTAGTTGTCTCCCATCTTCCCCTGAATGTCTGCATTATAAGTGATTAAAGACAAGCGCATTTAGACGCAAAGACGCAAGACACTAACTAATCCGGTTATCACCAGTGAGAGAGACCGTGGGAAGAGGGTCTTTAGTATACCTACAGGTGTTATAACGGATGCATCTTACGTCCGTTGATTGCAGGCTGGTAGTCACCTATAGGTCGAATAGCAGTTATAAAGGCACATTATTTTTAAAGCTGAACGTATCTGTATGCAATCATTATTGACCTCGCTCAGTTGTTTTGCTTATCGGGGCAGGGTAAGCATGAAGATTATTTTGGAGGATACCAACATGACGATCAAGGAAGGTAAGTAAAGTTTTCAAACATAGAATGTACGCACACCAATGACGTCCATCAGCGACAAATAATATCAAAGTGATGCCACCGAGCGCTAACTGTCAGGAGAGACCTACTCCTCGTTAACCTCTGTCTGGTCCACCTGTGTTGGGCTAACCAGGCAGGTATGATAATCTCTATGAAGGTGCATGTTAGAAATACAGGTCTGACTCTTGCGTCAGAATCACGAAAACGAAAATCTTTCGAGGCACTTGTGTAGATGTGTACACGTTCGTTGAGGTGAGGAAAAGATTCTACGTCAGCCCCTGAAACTAGCTTGTCTCGGTGTGTGTGGGTAAGAGAATTAATAATGGAAAAATTTCTAGAGTTCGGCAGCTGCAAAGTGTCGCTTTTCTCTCACGTAGCCATGAACTGTTTCTTGTGCATTTTTATTTTGTTAGTGGGTCTAAAATCGTTACGGGATACTCATAATTTTCGTTCTTAATAGTAATATCTTACGAAAGACCCCCTCTCCAGCATGAGTCATGTAAACGAAAAGAGATTTTTTTTTTATTTCACACTGATCGGTTCAAAACTATAGGCAGGTCAATTTCAAGAGATACTTTCGCTGCCTGTCATTAACATGTACCTTTGTTTTGCGTTCCAGCAAGCTGAGCACGTTGAAGCATGGGACCCACTACCGAACACCGAATTTCATCGAGGTTGAACGGTTAGAGGATCTTGCATATTTTGTTTTGCTATTCACCTATGAACCTCAAGGCTATATTGTTAACAAGTGCAATTGGCGTTGATTCTGAGCAGTCAATTTCCCCATATTTAGAAAACAAGCTACTTTTTCTAGGTCGTAATTTGGTTACTGAACTCTAGAGATGCAGGAATCTAAAACGTGCATACTGACTTTAATGGTTTTCTTTTTTTACGTCAAATTGAAGTACAAGAGCCTAGAATATGTACTAATAAGTGTGAGAGGGACCTGAAAAATTAAGTACATATTAATAAAAGATAGTTTCTGTTTCTACTGTTCCCAGACACCACGACACTGTGTTAGCTTCACATCACGTTCTGGCACGAGATATCGTGAGGTTTCCACGGCCGCTCCGCTGCGTGCTTCCGCTGATGGTCCACAAGCGGTTTTAAATGTTTTCGGTGACGCGCAAGGGGCTATTTTATGTGTATTGGTGCCAAGCGTCATCACGACTAGCTATAGCGAGTATTCACATGACTTCGTCATGCGCCATCTTGTTGTACAGTTCGCAGCTTGACTTTCTGGTGATAAGAAGATCGAGATAACAATGTGTGCCTTTCACTGTGTTTTCTATACAACAAAATGACAGCCGCGATGACGTCAATACTTACTCCCTACTGACGCATGAAGCCACCCAAATCGACATTGTAGCACAACGTCACGCTACTATCGATGTCAGTGGTCGCGCCATGCAAAAGTTAACTTCATTATGTAAATCTTATCAGCACTTTCCCACCTTCACACTTGTTCAGAGCCCTTTCTGTGTACATACCTGTGTGAAAGAATTGATTGATATGTGGGGTTTAACGTCCCAAAACCACCATATGATTATGAGAGACGCCGTAGTGGAGGGCTCCGGAAATTTCGACCACCTGGGGTTCTTTAACGTGCACCCAAATCTGAGCACACCTGTGTGAAAAAATAAAGTCAGCTTCGAAAATTGGTGTCAGTATTAATTTAAACCGTCTACAACATTTTTTTAATTATGCAACATGATTGTGGAGAGACTTTTTAATGCACACAAACTCACTGCGCGAGCAGGATTGCGTGCGTGTTCGACCAGTTCCCGGAGTGGCTTCTGCGCAGCGGCAACAAGGACATCGCCTCGTCGAGCGAGTCCCTGAACGAGAGCCTCGCCTCCGAGATGGCCGGCGCAGACGGTGGCAGCCCCGACGCCTCCGATCTGCTTGCGGCCTTCCGCCGATGGAAGGGTACACACACTATAGCCACTTTATTTGGTTTCCCACAGAAATAATCTGTTCCCGAGTACATGACGATCTCCTTACGCATGAAACTGCGTAACGTGAACAGTTGGCGCTGTTTTTTCTGCCTGCCATATTTTTTTGCGTGTGTTGATGCAATTATCACTGTAAATAAGTAGCAAAGTGTCATTTTTTCTGAGTGGCGCAAATCGCTCGTACGACTCTTAAACAATTGTTTTGTTAGACGTACAGATAATTAATTATTTAACCTCCTTTGTACATGTGGGTTCGTGCTGTTGATTGCGTATTAGCACTTCGTTACTACTTTTTTTTAACTGGAAGACGTAGTAATTGTACTGATGTGATCCTTCGCCCACCTTTTGTACGTGGTGTTTGTTTTAATGAGCCTCTTAAACGAGCACTGACACGAAAACAAAAATTTTGCATCGATTTTTTTTTTTTTTTTACTGCGGGTATCCTATGACCTGCTTATCACGGCTGGAAACCTTGTTTGCGCAACGATTATTTATTGATAGAGATTTTTAGAGCGCCCAGCATTCAGTTTCGCTTTCTGAGAGCGCCGCGGCAGGCAGGAGCAGTTTAGGCGACAAGGTAAACACAGCTGGCCTCGTGACCACGCAAAACTGTGACGTGGCATCCACGCGCGAAAGTTAGTGAGCGGGCGCCGCACTGGCAGCCAGCATTATAGAGTTTCCCAATATACACTAGAGGGAACTCTGGCGCTAAAGTCTACGGGAGATGCAATGCACGGCGCTTCAGCGAGCATGGGAATGATGGGTAGTACACACATTTGTCTAATCTTCGTACTTCTGGCCTGCTTCTGGCTCCATGTGTGTTCGTGTGGCTTGAAGCTGTTTTCTTACGAAACAAATATTAGCAAATGTTCAGCGGTTGCGCTTCGCCACCTTTTTTTAAGACTTACCTTTCCAAATCGGGTATCAAATTTCAAAAGGGTTGAATCTTTCTTTTAAGACAAAACCGAAACACAGCAATAAACGAAGCCACAAGTACGATTCGCCACCCGCAAGTACGAAGACTAGGCAAATGTGTGTACTACCCATCGTTCCCATGGTCGCTGAACGATCGCAGCGCCAGAGTACACTCTAGTTAATTTTAGAAAACTCTATGGCCAGCACGCGCGAAACCGCAAACATGGAGGAGGAAATTGCAGGTAGCGCAAGCGCGAGGCGCGTGCCAGCAACCAACCAACACAAACTCGTGACGTAAATTTGTTTACATTGCCCCAGCGTTGATGTCGGTCAGCGTCGCCAGAGGGCTCCGCAGTTCACTTACTCACGCGGCGGGCACTTTGAAAATTCATTTCAAACTTGTTCTAGGCTATATTTGTCCCTGATATCTCTTAGAATGTTGTGCATGTCTCCACATAAATATCTCGCTCATTACCTCGTCTTCGATATTTTGTGTCAGAGATCCTTTATTACAGCTTAGCATCCACACTGATGCTGCATTTGTAGCCATGCGAGTTTCCATGCCGACAGGTTACTCTGTGTTCGTCATCATTCTTCTCGTTGCAGGCACAAATCAATGCTGCCTAACGCGGCACTTCATTGTGTTCGAGCTAAGTTACGTGGGAAAGCCCCTGTCACGCATCACGGTAAGTGCAGTGGACCAAAGCCGGCGTCAAAAAGGGTGTTCGTTCTTTCGAAACCCTCACCTTTTCTCCAAACATCTATTATAGCGCATTTGAAGCATGTAATTGAGACTGAGCAATATAATTACACCTGTGTTTTCTTCTGAGTAAAAAGGTTATTGTTATGATTGTACACTTGTGCTGTTGGTATGGTTCGAAAACATTAAGTGCGAACAACTTTATTACTCAGCTGTAATACGTAAGTGGTATATCAAAGTATCCAGATTAATTAAGTGCGAATTAAGTTATTACTGTAATCACTGGAAAGAGAGAGAGCATCGCTGATAATTCGGTCGCGTTTCTGCAAAACGTCTCGTAAACCTTCTTTTTTAAATTAACTTTGCAATGTTTTCTTACGTGTATCTGTGGCGTGAATCAAGTGCTTGTTGTTTAGTGTTCGCGATTAAGAAAAATAAAACATATCGAAATGTTCTGGAGGAAACACTGCTTTTATTTGTGATGGCAGAAACTTCATGAGTACGGGGTGACGTCAGTGAGTGCCTCAAATGAAAGTATACAGCACACATGGTTCAAACCCGTAGTTTATCTTTATATAGGCTATATCAATCCGCTTATCTTGATAAGCAAAGTGGACGTGGGTAATGTGACTATGGCACGGCGCAGGAAATCTTCACTTATTTCCGTATTACCAAGGGCGGCCGACCTATCGAAAACAGCAGCCGCTATCGAACTGCTTTGTTAACTTTGCCTCCTTTTCTTTCTTTTTTTTTGTGGAGAGGGGAAAAAGGGGGGGGGGGCTACGTGCAGCATGTTTCTCAACGCTGCTATGCTAACATAATTATAGCTATAGCAATTAGCTCAGTGTATTTTTTCATGTTCATATTTTTGTCTTAAGACACACTCTTCAAGTTCACACGAACTGCTTACCAAAAGGCAAGTGCGAGATGACATGCCTGGACAACGGATGGCACCGTTGTTGCTGTCTTCTCGCTTACCCGTAGTGCCAGTTTGACCCGACTGCAATTTGAAGAGACGCCGGAAGCAAAGATACTACGTCAGCGTGTAATATCAACGCTAGAGAACGACGTCGATATTAAACAGAGCAGCGGCTTAGTAAACAAGAAACGAAGGTAAACTCAGGACAAGACTCGCGCCATGTTACATAAGCTCGATGGCGTAACAGGACCCGAGACGATTGATCGCGAGGAGTCTAACTAACCCAGACTACAAACATGCCATTGCCCTGCGGATATTAAACGTTTGCATTTCAATCTGATTCCTATAAAAGTCAGCCGTCGGGCAGTGCTCGCATGATGAATGTTACGTCAGAAGTCCGTTATCGGAAGCGAATTACTTGAATTGTGCGAACGTTATGCGGAACAATAGAGCACAATTCTCTTTTATTAAACTAAGCATTTCGTTGTCCTGCCGTGGAGGTCTAGTGGCTAAGGTACTCGTCTGCTGGCCCGCAGGTCGCGGGATTGAATCCCGGCTGCTGCGGCCGCATTTACGATGGAGGCGAAAATCCTGTAGGCCCGTGTGCTGAGATTTGGGTGCAGGTTAAAGAACCCCAGGTGGTCTAAGTTTCCGAGGCTCTCCATTACGGCGTCTCACATAACCATATGGTGATTTTGTGACGTTAAATCCATCATATCATCGTCATCTAAGCATTTCGTTGGCAAGAAACAAACACTATGAAGTTTACGAAACACCATTTCAGAAATACACACCTACTTAATAATTTGCCTTTAGTGTCTCTTAATTGCGCCTGGCTTATCGGTTGTAGCTCGTCGAGTCAACGTACTTTTTGTAATCGGAACGACTCGGCCAGCCCTGAAACTCTCGGTCCAACACAGAAGCTTTTACATGAAGAAGCCAAGCTAGGCCGCCGCATGCAGGGGGGGAGGGGGGATTTTTGTAATGCACTTATGCGCAAGATGCGCTAAGCCAGTCCCATACATCAATATATTAGGAATGGGGCGCTATGAATGGGGGGGGGGGGGCGCAAAGTCAGTCTCATACATGACCTAGTAGGGCGGTAAAGCGTTGCAACAAACCATCGACCCCCCCCCCCCCCCTCCCCATTAAGGGGAACCCTGCCACACGTCTATGAAACCAAGTATGAAATTTCAGCCGCACAAGCCTATTAAATCCGCTGCTGTCGGCTCATGTATTTGCGCCTTGTGTATAATTCCGGTTCATGAACCACGCAATATGACCGTGCCTTTGTCTGTGGCAGCTGCGCAGCGCGGCGCAAGGCCGCAGCCTGGTTCAGCAGGCAGCCTGCTGCTTGGCCGTGGCTGAACGCGCCCTCGGATTCCGGCACACCGGCGTGGACGCCGACAAGCTGCTGGTGGCCATGACCGACGCGGCGAGCCTCGAGTACCGGCTGCCCAATAGGACGACGCCCATCTCGATCGAGAGCGCCGGCCTGAAAGCGCATTTGGCCGGATGCCTGTCCTTCGCCATCGACTCTGAAGGCACGTTTTGCTCATCAAATTAAAAGATGTCGATTCATTGTGACACTGCCACGTCCACTCAACCACGATTCAGTCGACTAACTATTGCTCTTTTGAGACAGAGTTAATTGAGAAATGATTTCAAGCTTGAAACACTGTTCTAATTTGCCACAGTATTTTGCCAACTTACAGGGCGTTTCGTCTTTTTCCTTAACATTATGCGTCCTGGTGTGCCACTCCCTCGCTTCGCCCCTGCCACTCCGCCATTACGATTTACCCGAAAGAAGGAGAATAAGCGTAGAGTAAACCTAACCAGTTTCTGTCCCCCTTTGTCTTTTCCACTACTGAGTTTAAGGTTGTGTATAATAAACACGTCATATCTTACTTAGATTTATGCAAAGGGTCTTTCGAAGAAACGCAGTAAAGGTTAGACAAAGCCAGTCGTCAAACCACGGCCGGTCTGGAAGTGTGCGCTTCTAAGAACAAGCGTGCCTCCAGACCAGCCGTGCCCAAACTCGAGTCACAGAAAGCGCGATAGTGAAACTACTTCTTCTTTGTATTTCTATTTTATATCAGTTTTCACACGTGCTTTCCTATTTAGTGAAACGGCGACATTTTTTTCCGATGTTTTGTGTGCAGAGGACGATGACAGGCACGACGCAGCGTCCAAAGAAAATGTGAATGACAGCCCTCGTTCGGAATTCAGGTAGAAATGCCATTTATTTAAGACGTGCTGTTTGGCTCTGGCAGAAACTGTGTACTTGAATTAGTCTCCGGGCGTTGTCGCACACTCTTTATTTTTACAGGGATTAGCATACGGCTCAAATATACATATACCTTCGTGCAAGCCATATTCTCACTACCCAGTTTCTGCTAAAGCTGCACATATCTCGAGGGGCGCTTTATTTGCTGCAGCTATAGGTCGGTATGTTAAAGGAGTTGGCTGCTTGTCTTACTTCGTTTATTTCAATTCACTGCTATCGCATTCATTGGTTCGTGCTTATTGCTTCGAAACTGTGACGTTTTTGACAAATCTACATTTATTGATACCTGTGCAAAATTTACGTGGATTCGGAGGACTTCTGAAAGACAGTGTACGCAGTGTCATACAAAACGAATTTAAATTTGTGATAGTCTGGGTACGTTCTAGTAACCAACCGATGAACTTATTTAATGCGTTAGCATCAGCAGTGACAAAATGGATGATGGTCCGTGTGGAGCATATCGTATTTATTCGCATCATACCCGGTACTATTACGTAATGTTTGCTACCTGTTTTCTGTGCTGGCTATAAAAGTAAGGTAACTACAGAATTTTAAAAGTAATTCAGATGCAGTGCTGTTTTGGCTCGTTTCTTCAGCATATCGAAAATCGGCTAGTAAGAAGAAAAGAGAGGTAGCCTACATGACAAGCGGGGAAGGCATACGTACTTCGCCTCATAGCGTTTGTCTGTCCCATCATTCCTTCCATCCCTGTGGTGCGTTTTCATATGCTAAACAGTGAGACAGCCGAAAACATGCGAATGTATCACGTGACCCAAACAGAAACGTCACGCATGACGTCATAAATATAAACGGCACGTTTCTGTCGACTCTGGATGTGAGAGCGGGGATGCTAGCAAAATATTGAGAAGCAAGGAGTAACACGACGTAGTTCACTGGCTTTCTCATTCACACGGGCCAGCCGTTTAAACGGGCAAAGTATAGTGATATTTGTGCAACGCCAGGCAGTATCTTTTTTCTCAATCAAGCTTTACTGTAGTGGTTGGACGTCACAAGTGATGCTCCTGCTCAGGTCGTGTGAATTTCCTGCGCCATTTATAGTGCATGCACGCGCCCATAAACATTTATGCGCTTCAACTCGCCAGTGACGTTGGTACATTTAGTTAGGTTGGCTCGCTCGCTAACTGGCACGAATATGCACTTAATGGTACGGTTGTATACTTAAGCAAGGTGTGGGAGCGGGCTAATTGATATTCCATGCCTTAAACAGCTGAAGCGCAAAAAGGTAACAACGGACTCGTTGTTTCCTTGATTTGATTGATTCGTGGGGTTTAACGTCCCAAAACCACCATATGATTATGAGAGACGCCATAGTGGAGGACTCCGGAAATTCTGACCACCTGGGGTTCTTTAACGTGTTCGTTGTTTCCTTAGTACGCGTTATTACATTTTCATGCTTCAGCTGTTTAAGATCTGTACTTAAGCTGGTACGGTTGTGTACTAAACTGGCTAGCTGGTACGGCTGTGTACTTAATGAACAGCATGAGAGAAAAAAAAAGACAGAAAGACGTGGCACATGGAAGGACTGCTGACTACCAACTGAAACATTTATTGCGCAATACAATGCACAAAATGGTTAAACAACATTCGTCACACACTGCGTGTGCCGTATGGTCTGGTAAGGAAAGAAAGATACACTAACAAAGTGGTAGCTTTTGCGGAGCTCGTCCGGCACACTTTTTCGTCTCTTATTTTTTTTTTTCGCGCTATTCATTTGGTAAACTGTCGTATTCAACGGTGAAATCGCAACTGCTTCTTTTCTTTCTTTTTTTGAAGACGCATTTTACGTTTGCGTGCCACACGCAGTGACCGCGGAGCCCCCCGCTTCTACGGGAACGTGATGTGGCTGGGCGCCGTGATGGACTGCGTGCTGCACAAACTGCGCTCCGAGCTACCCGAGAACCGAGGGCGCGCCGAGCGCGACGAGCTGATATCCTGGCAAGCTCGTCTGCAGCAGTGCAACTGCGTTTATGAGCTCGTCGATGCTATGGGCCTCTAGACGACGCCTCGAGACTGCGCGTTCACCCTCATCGGCCGCATTAAACGCTGTGCTATTAAGTTTTCGCCCATAGCACCATTCTGTATCGTATTTTTGTTAATGCGAATCATTTCTTAAGAGAATCAAGGGCACTTTCACCTTGCCGCCTACATTTGTACTGTGCATGGCTCTCGTGGTCGTCTCCAAAACTTGGTGTATACGCCAAAACTGGCGTATGCAAATATATATCCAACACAATTCGCATGTCATAAAATAATTTGACCTCCTTGTGAGACAAGTCCTGAAATTCTTTCCGTCAGTCACGTGTGGCACAAAACTCGCATATCACTTGCTCATGCATGAGACGCGGGTGTGCGCCCCTAATACCTCGGAAAGCTTGACGTGACGGCGTGAAGGAGACCTACCCCCGTATTCTAGAACGTCCCTTCACTCAGCGTTTCACCTTCACTTGAGAAAGCCGATGGAAGCGCCGTCTCTAGGCACGGCAAGTCACTGCGTATTAGCGATAATCTGCCGCGATTCTTGAGTAGCACAACGCCATTTTTTAGCCGAGCTGTGGCGCAGTGCTCAACTCTGTCAAGTGATGGGTGAAAGTCGAGTCGAGGAGCGTTTGTGAATACGGGGGCTAGTCTCTGAAAATAATGTGCCGGCGTCGACGCCGTCATTGTCCACGGGCGAAATATCCGTATAGAAGCGAAGAATAAAACTCGCAAGTTGGCTGTGCACATCGATATCGGCGCAATAAACTTGTGCATTTACTGCTATCAGTACGCTTGACTTGGACGCTTAGCCACATGACCTCGACCCGCTTCCAGTGATGCCATCGCTTCCAAGTTCTGTAAGCGGTATGTTTGCTATAACTAACGAGAGACGATTTAATTGGTAAATTTGTTTTACTTCTGCCTGACCGTCTGGTCGGCTACATTCATTTCGCAGTTCCGTTTTGTCCGCGTTACGCTTGGGGCTACGTTTTTACGCCCGTTCCTGAAATTTCGTTGCCCTATATATATTTCTTACCTCGGCAATGAACCACTGCGTGTGACAGCGCCCGCGCCGAGACAAGAATTACGGCCAATAATTAGTATGAAAGAGTAAGACGTCCCGAAAGATTCCAATAAGGTACTTGGCTCGTCGTGCCTCATGTCATGCTTGTCAAAACTGCTGGTGTCACATAGTTCTTCGGCCCGACCCACAACACACTGCAGGGCCTGGTCCGGTGTGTTCCAGAACGAACCTTTTCCGCGTTACTCCATTGTCGTCAGTTGGTCGAGTCACGCAAACGCCACTTCTTTTGTTTCATTTGAAGTACTTTGAAAGCCTCGCATGCTTCGTCAAACGGGAAGAGTGACCACCGTCATTGCTGTAGTCATCGACGAGATGAACGCCATCAAAAATCATCCATCGTAATCAATTATGGTAATGATGATGAGGACTATAGTCATAAAGGATAGCATTCGACATTAAGTCGTCTTGGGAGGTTGCATAAGGAACACAGTGTTTCTTTTTTTTTGTTTTTTTTTTTGTCGTGAGAACGTTGATTTGTATTGCCACGTTCCATTTCCCAAGTTTTTTGTTATCGTCCCAAAACACGACACGATTCTCAGCGCAAACCTCGCCTGCAGTTTTCGAGAAGGTTCCGGACTGTAGTAGATCATTTCGATAAGATCACGCCCACTGTGCGAACGGTACAGATTGTTCTGGAACGTACGCCACCGCCAGCGATAACGCTAGAACATTCGACGGCAAGAGTATAAATGCCGACGCGCTTCGCCGCTTGTCAGTTGTTGATCGAAGGCCGACGCTCCGTTCGCCGCTATCAGTCCAAGACTGCTATCAGTGCAAGACTGCTGCTGTAATTGAACTTTCCGTTTACCGGGCACAGGTTCGCCCAAATAAACAGTTAAATCCCAACAAGAAGTCTCCTGTCTTCGGCCACGTCACGACCCCGTGACAGTATTGACCCAGCTTTCACCTTCTAATCGGCATCGGTGAATGCGCGCAAGGTAAAATATTTTAGTCCCTCAGCTCCCATTGTATTCATTTATTTTAACCGAGGTATGCTCCGAGGTTAACCGAGGTTTATTTAACCGAGATATTTTAACCAAGGAACTGCTACAAGCACACTTTCAGGGTACACACTACGCCATAAATAATTTTCGCGTAGTACACCGGTATTCACAATGCTATCTTTCTTCAGTCTTCGGAGAAGCGTGATATCCACTGCACATTTGCAAGAAATTTTGTGCACTTTTTTTTTTGTGCAGCGGCTGACGACGACGAAGAAATTCTACCTGAAGTGGGTAAACAAGAACAAGCTGAATCGGACCATTGGACGACCCACTCGATACACTATTCGCATTGTCATACTAACGATCGATACTCATACTAACACGATTTGTTTTCCGACATCAAGCCTGCAAGGCAAGTTGGAAACGGAGTTTCAAGCACCGGCATGGCTGTGCGGTATACAATACTGTGCTGGCCCGCACGAGACCCGGGTTCGAATCTCGCTGTGTCCTTTGTGTTTTTCATTGCGTATTTTGTTCAATAATGGTTACGGACACCGGTGGCGGCGGAAAACTATGGCGCACGCACGACCCTTGTTGTGATCTCGCTTTCACTGTAAAACATTCCACGGCGTGATTCATTGCTCTGTGACGCAGAACGGAGGTGAGATGGTTGTGATGATCGGTGAGCAACACGAATGCGACATGCTGCGGTTCGCAGATAAATCCTAATATTACTGGCGAAAAAGAAAAAAAGGAAGGGAAACGCCTCACGCGCCGTTCGATTAGGGCACCATCGCGAGAGAAGTAACCGAGTCGTGCTTTTAAACCACTCATGAAGGTATACCATTCACAACCTACACTGCATCACCCTGCTATGTCCAGAACAATAACGTGCATGTGGAGATGGCCATCCGCATAGTGTTCCCAATCATCCCATACCTTGAGAAGTATGTTCATGGCCTAGTTTGCTACACAAACTACACTATGGGCAGCGCGCATTCACGGGGCCTCCTGTTGTGAATATGTCTTTGCGGTTCATCTATAAACTCAAACTTTGTGAAGAAGTTGACCAAGAGCTCTCTCGTTTATTGCGTGCTCGAAAGCAAGCTGCACTTGAAATCAACGACAGGCTGCATTCAATATTTAACGTAAGGAAACAAACATAAAGACGACGTCCGAGGACGTCACTAAGATGACGCAAGAAAACAGGATCATGGGGCGCCATCTTCAGATGCTCAGCGTGTCGAAGAACTCTCCCACAGAGTCGCACTGCTGCAGGCGCCTCTGCAGCATCGACAGCTCCTCGACGAGACCGCGTTCTGCACGGGCACGGGACTCCGGCAACTCGGAACGCAGCTTGCGCATCACGCTGCCCACCACGGCTCCCAGCCATGTCACGTTGCCTTTGAAACGCAGTGCTTCGCTGCTTCTGCTGCAGCACAAGTAACATACAGAACTGCGTGAGCAACTTGCACTTCCCTTATTTGGTGTTGGAAATATATCTCTTCCAATGTGGACTCGTAAGGGAACTATCGAAACAAGAACGCGTCACATTACTCTAACCGACTTATACTGCGATGTGTTCGGAGAGTTTAAATACACACCAATTTTACATCACTAGCGCCAGTCACGCAAGACACGATTACCACTGCACAACGTTGCGATGCGAAAGAAATCAGTGGTAGTAGAAACAAAATCCTAGTTTCCTCATTTGGGTTTGTATGCAGACACGAAACACGACTTTTAACTTAGATTCGTCAATGCGCAACGAAGCTCCCGCTCGTATATCGCACCCCACCGCACGATTGTGGAAAGCAGTGCTGTACAGCTCCGACTCAGCGACTAAGCCTAAGTTACAAGAGTTCCAATGTGGGCCAGTTGGTTCATGAACAATATGGCGTAACAGCTCAATGTACAGAGCACTGAAACACTGGACATAACATAGACAGACAGCACAGTGTCCTGCATCCTTCACTGTCTAGTATATTACACTGTTCGGCCATAAGTCGCCCGACCAAGAAGGGTGCCGTGGCTGTGGGGCCACTGGTCTCTAAAAGGACCAGATGCAACGATGAAAGAATTCAGGTACTACCCAAGTGCTGGTTGTGTTCAAATTCAAGTCTTATCTTCTCTCTTGTTCTCGCTGAATTAAATGAATCTATAAAGATAATCAAGTTCTCAGCGCTTAGCGTAGAGACTGCCGAAGACGATTATAAGAAAGATAAGGAACTCAACCAAGCGCTATAGGGTGTAGTGCTGCTGTACATTCTTCCTGGTCACCGCCTTCACAAACGCCAAGAATATGTCTAACTAGCAAAAACAGAAGTTATCCTTAGCAAAGAAAGATATGCAAGTTCTTTTTTTTTTTGCTGAATTGTGTACAAGAAATGGCTCTGAAGTGGTGTCCAAGCAAGCATCTTGTCACCACGCTATAGAGCTGAATGCGGTAGGGACAACATGACGCCACTGCGTCATAAAACCACGCGTATAACTTGGCGCCTTTTGACGCTGGTTCATTTTGCTACGCACTATCAGTGTTGTAGATTTTGGAGACACCCCTGCAGCGTACATTTGTGGCGTTTCTTGCTTACGTACCAGTATTCTGAAACGGTCACCTATAGGTGTCGCCGGTTCGGGCCCTCTGTACAGAGCTCAGGTGTTAGCGACAAGGCTGTCAAGTCACCGATACCGCTTATATGTGGTGTTCAAGTGCTCTTTTATCCCACAACTTCGCACCGTATCTGTAGCGATAACCACAACGAGCTCTCGTCAAGCCCTCAGGCCGTGCCTGCATGCATGCGTAGACCACTGTACACGCTATTTCACGTAAGACACATGGGCACCACCACATTGGACTGTTTAGCGAATGTTTCGTTATTGCTGTATCGGCGCGACGGGAACTGATAAGGTCAGGCGATGCCAAATGCACTAAACCAACCGTTTTGACGTATATAGACCACATATAAGCGCCCACCGAAGGGCCGTTCGTTTAGTTGTTAATATTAAAAGAATGGCGGCGTTATGGCTTGCTAAATTCTCACCTGCCTTGAGAAGGGGCGTTGCCGAGCGCACTCTTAGCACGTGATGGCGAAGATGGCGAGTTGACTCCTTCTTCCTTGGCTTCTGCATAAGGAATAAGTGGGATGCAGAATATTTTGAAATTATACCTCCGCCACCATAATCTTACGGTGGCGGAGCCCTACACTATATAGGGCTCCGAAATTTTCGGCCATGCACCTTGTTTTTTTTTTTCTTTCTCGTCCACCCAAATATAAGCGCATTGGCCTCAGGCATTTTCGCCTCTATCAAAAATGCAGCCGCCGTAGCCTAGATCCGATCCCGTGACCTGCGAGTTAGTAGTCGGGTACCACAACTAGTCGGCCACCGTGGCGAGTCAATTTCTAATTTCGTGTTGTCAGACCCAGACGCGCGCAAGCAAACAGATATGCAAACGAGCAAACTTGAGGCACGATTGCTTCAGCGCGAATGGCACTCTGATGGCACATGGGTACATCTGATCAGTATCTATCAGCTTTCTAATAAAGCAGTTGAATCCAACAACCGACTAGGTGAAGGAAAGCATGGAAGACATGTAGTCTTTTAACTTCAGGGAAGTTATTATTGCGTAAATGGGAAGAATTAAAGGGGACAAAAAGAAACGTCCTTTCTATCGGTGGGCCCCTAATTCCCAACCTTCGAATGACGTATATCCCCCTTCTCTCGTTTATTCGAGTACGCCCCGCCGTGGTGGTCTATAGTGGCTAAGGTACTCGGCTGCTGACCCACAGATCGCGGGAACATATCCCGGCTGCGGCGGCTGCATTTCTGATGGATGCGGAAATGTTGTAGGCCCGTGTGCTCAGATTTGGGTGCAGAACCCCAGGTGGTCGAAATTTCCGGAGCCCTCCACTACGGCGTCTCTCATAATCATATGGCGGTTTCGGGACGTTAAATCCCACATATCAATCAATCAGTCTCGAGTTCAGCTCTGCCCTGCGTATAGCCGTTTGCGCTGCCCTGTCGAAACGTTCATGCCGCCTCACCTGGTCCGAGCGCGAAGGACAAGCAACCGGCGACGTGCACCCTGAGGACCCGCGCTGTCGATGGTCAGCGGAGACCTGTCGGGAAGGTGGTACTCGAGGCTCGCCGCATCGGTCGCCGTCACCAGCAGCTTGTCGGGGTTCGCGCTCAGGTGGCGGAAACCGAGAGCGCGTTCCGCCACCGCCATGCAGCACGACGCTTGCAACACGACGCTCCGTCCTTGCACTGCACTGCGCAGCTGCGTGAAAACAGGACCGGTTATCGAACACCAATTGCCGAATACTGCCGCGTGCGTTTATTTCGATTCATTCATTTTTTTCCCGCAGAAAAAAATTGTTATCAGTTCTCGGCGCCAGCCGCACTACAATGTTCGGGAAGCTTCACGGTCGCTCGAGCTCATTCTGCCAAGATTACGCGCAGTATACGCGAATAGTCAAGTTCATACCAGAGCTTATCCGAGCATCTGTGATAAGGCTCGAATGCTCGTTGCAGCATCATAAATGCCGACGCTACCTCACCGCAGATCAGATAATCGACGGCAGACGCTCTCTTTGCCGCTATACCAGTGTACAGCGCGTAATGTATGGCGATCAAGTCTTCGTTTCCCGAGCACAGGTTCGCGCAAATAGAGGTTCATTTTAAACACGCCGACTTCTGCCTTTGTCAACGTCACGACCACGTGACAATATGACAAAGCAAGCTAGCACATTGAAGTTCTGTGCACTGAACAAGAAAGAGAAAAAAGTTTAGTTCTTCAAAAGTCTGAAGCTGTTGCTCATCCTTACCTGCAACATCACTTTATTTATTTATTTATTTATTTATTTATTTATTTATTTATTATTTATTTATTTATATTGATTAATTCCTATTTTCGGTGACCCAGATCATATTATTACTCTATAAGTTTTGGAGCTGGACGGATTTCATGCTGCCAGATATTGCTCAATGGCATAGTCGGAATTCTTTAATAGCCCGTCGTAGCAGCGTAACAGTTATAACATGAAGCTGCTAGGCCCGAGGCCGCGGGTTCGGTTCCCGACCGCGACGACCACATATCAATAAGAGAGAAGTGCAATAATTCCCGTGCACTTCAATTTTTTATAATAAGTCCAAAATTATTATGGCATTCCCAATATACTGTGTGCCTCACAGTCGTGTCTGTGCTCTGGCGGGGGGGGGGGGGGGACACAGGCCGTAAACATTAATTTTGATACACACTGCAACCAAATATTTGGAAGACACTTGCATTTTGCCTTCATGAGTATGGAACATGGCTTCGTAATCAGACTTTGTGCTCGTTGCCTTCTAACTCACTATGGCCTATAGCATCGTTTCTCGATGGATAACTCAACAAAGCCACGAAAAAAGGAGCGTTTGTACACGCAACACTGACCGTTCAAACTCTGGCAGAGTGCGTGCCTACTTCAGGAACAGTCACGAAGTGCCCGGAACGCCATAATTTACCATTTTGCGAATAAGCAAAGTGCGCACTATACGTTATTGTAAGGCAATTTACGCACCTAGGCACACTTTATTAATGCCGTTGCTAGCTGCTCTTGGTGATTAATTATGCGTGAGTGTTTTGTGGGCCTATAAACCGCCCACTCGTTGCACTGTTCGCATGGTGTGAAGTGTGGTGTGACTCTACGCATCTGCACAGCAATATCGCATGTGTCAACGCAACTCCTTGCGCTTGCGTGAAGTCTGTATGTTTTTCTTTCTTTTTTTTCTTTTTTTACAACCAGCTTAAAGCAATGGCGTGGCTCTGCGGTAGAGCCCATGTCTGCCACACAGTAGGCCTGGGCTCGATTTACACTTAGACTCAAGATTTCTATTGTTTGCATTGATCATTGATATATATGTGGAGTTTAACGTCCGAAAACCACCATATGATTATGAGAGACGCCGTAGGGGAGGGCTGCGGAAATTTTGACCACCTGTGGTTCATTTAACGTGCACCCAAATCTGAGCACACGGGCCTACAACATTTCCGCCTCCATCGGAAATGCAGCCGCCGCAGGATTTGCATTCATCATGATTTCGCATTCACGGGCAACGCCTATTTCTCACTCACAGACGACGACGCCAACACCTGAATTTATGGGACAGGGAATGCCTAACGCTAAGGCGTTAAGAATGTTCGTATGACTGAGAAACACTTAAGTTGCAAAGTTGCACCGCGTGAAAGCAGCAGAAATGAGCAAGGCAGCGCAGAAGATCAGCTGTGAAAAGTCACTATACAAGATCGTTGCATGTTCGCAAAGCTCACCGTTATCCGTGATAGTGGTTTCCCAGCGTAGCCCAGTTCCAGCACGATAAAATGTCGAGTTAGGAAGCATTGGTTTGTGCCTGCAATGTAAAGAAATCATGTATTTCTCTTATTCATTAACGAGGGTCCCGTACTGGCAGACTTCGTGTCTTTAGGTTGTATACGGGGGACCATTGATCAGCTGCCAGCTCGTAATAAGTTCACGTGCTACGTGACGCCAAACAGGCTCATAAAGAGTGTGCCACACTCGCCACCATGGCTGCAGGTGGCGCTGACTGACACTCCCACGTTTAAATTCTTATATATACCCAATAAAATTGCTGGTAGGATCGCCGCCGTGGTAGCTCAGTGGTAGAGCATCGAACACGAAGGTCGCAAGTTCGGTTCCTGCTCACGGCAAGTTATCTTTTCATCCACTTTTCTTTCTTCACATTCACATCACAATTGGGTCTAATAACTTCTCCTATACATTCATTGGCATTATTGTCTGTTAGATCTTATTATTTTGCGTCAAAACCACGGAAAACAAGCCCTTAAGTATACACTTCATTCTCTTATATATATATATATATATATATATATATATATATATATATATATATATATATATATATATATATATATATATATATATATATATATATATATATATATATATATATTGTCGCGGTGCAGCGCGAACCAAAGGCAGATGAACGTTGACACAGCGACTCTCAGCACAGCAGCCGAACAGCAAGATCGCCTTCTTTATCTTCAATCAGCCAGAGCTCCACTACCTGGTGTCCGCCAAATCCCCTTATTGTCGTTTTGGTCCACCAGTACACACGCGTCATTTGCCCCCCTCTTAATGAGCATCGCCCCGATGCTAAACCAGTAGTGCAGTTTTTTTTTGTCTGTTCTTTAAGAAGTGTCTTGCGCAGTCACTACCTTTCATAAGGCTTCATGCGCACAACGTGAACCAGTTCAGGACGGTGCTGGCGAAGCCTCGTACTATATGAAGTGTCGGGGACGACCTCGTAGGTAACATCACTCAGGCGTCGCAGTACTAAATATGGCCCAAAGTATCTCCTCAGGAGCTTTTCAGAGAGTCCTCGTTTCCGTATGGGCGTCCAAACCCATACTCTGTCACCGGTCTGGTAAACGACTGTTCTGCGGCGAGAATTGTAGCGGCTCGCGTCGTACTCTTGTTGTTGCTGGATTCGCAGGCGTGCTAGTTGCCTTGCTTCTTCCGCTCGTTCTGTAAACATCTCGGCGTCCGGTTCGATGTCGTCCCATTCGTGCGCTAGCATCGCATCTAACATGGTTCGTACTTCCCTTCCGTGAATTAGGCTGAACGGGGTCATCTGGGTTGTTTCTTGCTTGGCAGTGTTGTATGCAAACGTGATATATGGCAAGATTTCGTCCCAATTTTTGTGTTCGACGTCTACGTACATTGAAAGCATGTCTTCAATTGTTTTGTTCAGACGCTCTGTAAGCCCGTTCGTTTGCGGGTGGTAGGCGGTGGTCTTGCGATGGGTTGTTCCACTCAGCATGAGGACTTGTTCCAAAAGAGCTGCCGTAAGTGCGGTTCCTCTGTCTGTGATTACGATGCTTGGTGCACCATGCCGCAGGACAACGTTCTCGATGAAAAATTGTGCCACCTCCGCTGCTGTACCTCTCTGGATAGCCTTTGTTTCAGCATAACGGGTAAGGTAATCAGTCGCGACAATAACCCAGCGGTTCCCAGCAGTAGAAGTAGGAAGTGGGTCCAAAATATCCATGCCAATCTGGTCGAATGGTGTTCTTGGGACCTGCACGGGCTGCAGGAAGCCAGCTGGTTTAGTCGGCGGTGACTTCCGTCGCTGGCAGTCGAGGCAAGTACGAACATGGTGTTTTACGGCTACGGTCAGTCTTGGCCAGAAGTAGCGCTGCCGTACTCTGGCCAACGTTCTTGTGTAACCTAAGTGGCCTGAAGTCACCTCGTTGTGGCATGCCTCGAGTACTTCGGAGCGAAGGGCTGCTGGGATGACGAGCAAATACGCAGATCCTGTTGAAGAGAAGTTTCTTTTGTATAGCACTCCGCTCCGTAAGCAAAATGATGACAGCGCTTTTACGAAAACAGTTGGTGCCTTCTGAGATCTTCCCTCCAGGTAATTAATTAGTGCAAGTAACTCAGGGTCACCACGTTGTTGCTGTGCAATAGCGGTTGAGTCAAGCACACCGAGAAATGCTGTTTCCTCCTCATCGGATAGAGTTGCCGATTCAATGGGTGAGCGGGATAGACAGTCGGCGTCCATGTGGCGCTTTCCTGACTTGTGTACGACAGTCATGTCGTACTCCTGCAGCCTGAGACTCCAACGCGCTAATCTCCCGGTAGGATCTTTAAGATTTGTCAACCAACACAGTGAGTGGTGGTCGCTGATGACTTTGAAAGGGCGGCCGTATAAATACGGGCGAAATTTTGTGACCGCCCATACCACGGCGAGGCATTCCTTCTCGGTTGTGGAGTAATTAGTCTCGGCGCGTGTTAGTGTTCGGCTTGCATAGGCGATTACTCTTTCTGTGTCTTCTTGCAGCTGCACAAGCACAGCTCCCAAACCAATATTGCTGGCATCCGTGTGTAGCATCGTTGGGGCCTTCTCATCAAAGTGGGCAAGCACTGGAGGCGTCTGTAGTCGCTGGCGGAGGTTCTTAAAAGCAGCTTCCTCTTCGTTGCTCCATTGGAAAGCAACGTCTTCTCTCGTGAGGCGGGTCAACGGTGATGCGATGCGTGCGAAGTCCGCGATAAATCGCCTATAATACGCACATAGTCCGAGGAATCGTCGGACAGCCTTCTTATCAGTCGGCACCGGGAACTGTGCAACTGCTGCGATCTTTTCAGGATCGGGACGAACGCCTGCGTGACTAACAACGTGGCCAAGAAATTGCAGCTCTTCATAGCAAAAGTGGCATTTTTCAGGCTTCAACGTCAAGCCCGCTG